CCCCCGCCAGCCAGCCCCCGGGCCGCAGGTGCCGGCCGTGCGTCCGCGGCAAACTCGCCGCCTTCCCCGCCTTGGTGCGCGCGGGAGCTGGGGCGCGGCCCCTTGCAGTTCCCCGGGCCGGACCAGGGGAGCCTGCCCCTGACCGAGCAGACGCTTCTCTGCGCCCAATCCCACGGAGAACTGGACTTAAACCGGTTTCTCCGGGAACGCCGGAGCGCTCCAGAGAACCATTTACTAGGATGAATTCACACTTCCAACATCCGGTGAACCGCTAGTAAGAGAACACACCTATTACTATGCTAAAGTGACAGGCTTCGTCCGCAACCTCCCCGGGGGACTGGCTTCTAGGGTCTGCGTCCGACTTTGGGCTTTTGTGTTCCGCGAAGACCTCTGGAAGCCGGGCCCCTCCACGTCGCTCTTACTCATCTGGCAGTCAGATTTCTCTCCGCGATCACCCTCCCTCGCTCCCCTAGCCCCAGTCTCACGTCCCCTCGATTGGAGTTCATCTCTTGCGAATTCCTTTCCCGTGAACTTCTTCCCATTTCCCCGGTCTGGCTCTTGCCCAGACAGCAGATCCTCCCTTGTCCCGGACTGCTTTCCCACACCCAGGAGCTGACAGGTCCCCCTTGGTCCGACGCCTACCCGGGAGCAGATCTTGCTCCGGAGTTTCCTGCCCCACAAGCCACCCTTTGTGCTGCGGGTTTGACGCTCCCAGCTGCCCTAGGTCACGTACTCCCTCAACCCCGCGCCTCTTAACGTCAGTGTCAGCACACAGTAGGTGCGCTTAGTAACTGTCGAGTAACTGAGTGAAAAAATGAACGAAGTAGTGTGGCTTAGACACACCCTACTATCTAAAATTCGGCTGCCAAAAGGCTCTATCAGATCTTGGAATGCAGTACGCAAATATTTACTGAGAGCCACCCCAGTGCTGGCCTCTCCACAAGGTGGAGGAAAAACAAGAGTCCACAGAGGTGACCCTGAAAGGTGACTGCATTGTCGTGGGAGGGCCGTGGAGTCTCTGTGTTTGGGTTACGTATTGCGTGTCTCTGAGCTGCAATCAGATTAACTCTAGACCGCCTTCCTTAATCCCCAAATGAAGGCGATGAAGTTGATTTCACGGGACTGTTTCCATGACTCTGCGAATGCCGACTCTCTCTACTCTTGGCGGCTAGTGTTAAGATGCGCTGGAGAGAGACCTTTAACAGTCCTAAATCCGGATTTCAGTGCCCAAACCGGCAGTGACTTGTGTTCACAAGTACTTTGTGCGAAATATGAACTCCGGGACCGGCCCCAAACATACAGACGAAGAAATGCAACTTTCTCGTTTTCGTGCCTCGATTGCAACCTCTCTACAAAATAGACGGCTGGGGTTTCCCCTCTCCTTAGCCAAGCAATATCCTAGGCCGGTGCGCCCCACCTGCGGCTTCTGTGGACCAGGGCGGGGCCAGCGAAAGGCGCTGGGCGAGGCGCAGCAGGGGCAGGCATCCTGGAACCCAAGGCGGAGTGACCGGCCGACTGGCGCCGGGGCCCAGGGGTGGGGCAGGTGGGGTACTGCAGAGAAATTGTATCCAGAGTCTGGGCGGACTTCCCCACCCCGGGAAGCCTTAGGCCATTTCCCGTGCCGGACCCCCTCGGCCAGAAATTCCTCCAGGAAGAGCTCAGTGTAAGCGGAACGCCGGGGAGCGAAGGTGGAGCCTGCAGTGGAGGGCAACTTGGGCGGGTCCCAAGGCTGACTGGCGCAGTGGCCTCGGACCGTGGGAGCCAAGGGATCCCGACCTTTTCTGACCCCGCCGCTTTTCCTGGCCTGGGAGGGTGCTGGGCTGGGTTAGAGGCCCCAGGGGAACAGCCGTCCCACCCTGGCTCGGGGGCGTGCCCACTCCCTGCTCCCACCCCTGACACCCTCCCAGCTTCGCCTTGGAGCGAACTCGCCGCGCCCGGGGCGCCAGTTTAGGGAGGTGCCTGCGCGCTCGGAGGCGCGGAAGGTGGCGCGGAGCGCGCCCAGCCGGGGAGGAGGCGACGGGAAAGAATGCGCGCGCGACAAGTAGCGAAGAAAGATTCCAGAGGGTCCTTTGGGGCTAGAGGGAGGGCGGGGTAGGAGAAAAGGCTAACTTAGGGAAGATGGAAAGGGTGGCGGAGGGAAGTCGCGTTGTAGTTTCCTATCGTGTAACTTCTTGCGTTTCGCTGGGACTAGGGAGCCACTGCGGGCTTTTCCGGGAGCGGAGGCGTGAGAGCCGGAGAGCCGGGCTCGCTCACCGGCTTCATTCGTTCACCCCTTTAACTAGCCGGCACGCGTGCTTTTATTCATCTGCCAACTTTGTGCCATGGCGCCCGAGTGCCGGCGACTCCAAGGGACACGAGCCTCGGCCCTCCCGGAAGTCTGCTCAGACCCCAAGGGGTCCCCATCCCCCGTCTCCGAGGCCCCAGCCGCACTGCTCGCGGCCGCGCTGGGACCCGGACCTTGGCCAGGTGCTCCAGCTGCTCATTGGGCAGCAGCTTGTCGCAGTCAATCTTTAGCTGCGCTTCCGTAAACCAAACCAATCGTAGCCTTAATGCGAGGTCTCTTTCGCCCAGGCTGGCTGCGGCTGGGTGGGCTGGGGTCTCCTGGAGCAGAGCTGGAGCCGAGGATCCATCGGGGGTGACGTGACCAGAGTGCACCCTGGACACCTGCGCCTCATCCTTTCGTTGTATACCAAGCGCTCTCGCTCGCTCTCATTTTATTGCGGATGAAAGTTTATAGAGCAAATTCATTTCCCTTTCAATGATTTACACGCCCGTTGTTAGTGACGTCATTTGCGTTCCCCTGGGTGTGGGGTAACAGTTCTCCAGCCGCTTGCTCCCTGTGTTCTCCCATCTTCCCTTCGAACTTTGATGTTGGCCAAGTATTGTCCTTTTCACCTGCTACGGTTATCGGTTGTGAGAAGCACCAGCCTCAGTTTTGTTGTTCACTGTCGGGTTTGGCTGAAAGATCTCCAGGGGTGAGTTCTCTTCCAGGACTGAAGTGTGTCTGTCTGAAGTGGGCGTGGCTCACTGCAGTTCGGCAGCTGTGTGTGGCTCTTTCGTTGTGTACAGGCGGCTCTGAAGTAAAACTGAAAATTGAAAAGGTGTTATTCAGATAATGGTGATTTCATTTGTATGTCAAAATATATTTACGGCTGAGTCAGGGTGTAGTGTAGCACCGTTGAAACATGCAACTTTTCTTTCGTTCTTTAATGCTTCCTCCCGGCCCCCCCACTATGGAGAACCCAATTCTACCTTACAAATCTGGCTAGACCAGAGCTTGTACATGGGTACAGATAAGAGCTAGAAACACAGGAAATCCAGGAGAGATAAACCCATCAGGACCAATATTGAGAGTTGCCATACCAGGAGGGGGAGGGAAGGTGGGGGGAGAAAGGGGGAACCAATCACAATGATCTACATATAACCCCTCCCAGGGGGACTGACAACAAAAAAGTGGGTAAAGGGAGACATCAGTCAGTGTAAGACATGAAACAATAATAATGATTTATAAATTATCAAGGGCTTATGAGAAGGAGGGAGGGGGAAATAAGAAGTTGATACCAAGGGCTGAAGTAGAAAGAAAATGTTTTGAAAATGATGATGGCAATGGCAGGAAGCAGATGCCCTCTTTAACAAGTGGTGCTGGAAAAATGGATATTTACCTGCAGAAAAATGAAGCAAGGCCCTTATCTCACTCCATGCACAAGAATAAACTCAAGTGGATCACAGACCTTGAAGTTAAACGATTAGGGCCATCAATGAGTGAATTGGGACCAACTTGAGAACTTTGGCACAGGGAATACATAGGCTATCAGAAATACAGAAGGATACAAACACAGAGGACGCACAAATTGACAAATGGGATATACTGAAGATAAAAACACCTGTGTACATAGAAAGAATTCACTGAGTGATAAGAGAGTCCATGGACTGGGAAAACATCTTTAGTAATGACACATCAGACAAAGGCCTTATTACTAAAATCTACAATACTCTGCTAGTTTTCAAAAAGAAAAAAACGAATTGCCCACTGAGGAGGTAGGCAAAGGACCTGAACAGAAGTTTCACAGGGGCAGAAATCTGAATGGCCAACAAACATATGGGAAAATGTTCCCGATCTTTAGCCATAAGAGAAATGCAAATATAAACAACAATGAGGTACCACCTAACACCTTCAAAGATAGCCTAATTCAAAAAATCAGAAAGTAACAAGTGTTGGAGGGGCTGTGGGGAGACAGGAACTCTCATCCACTGCTGGTGGACCTGTAACTATGTACAGCCACTATGGAATCGATCTGGTGATATCTAAAGCAGATGGAAATCGAGTTACCATATGATCCAGCAATCCCCCTACTGGGCATATACCCAGAAGAGGCAAGAAACAAACCACAACCAGACATCTATGCTCCAATGTTCATTGTGGCACAGTTCACAATTGCAAGGAGTTGGAAACAACCCAAATTTCCATCAACTGACAATTGGATTAAAAAGCTGTGTTATATACATACAATGGAGTACTACGCATCACTAAAAAGCAGTTATGAACGTATGAAGCACATCGCTGCATGGGAAGAACTGGAGGAAATCATGCTAAGTGAAG